CTTCCCCTGAAGCTCTGGAGGTCCCTGAACCAGAGCGGCTTCGGTCATCCCCATGCAACCCTCACAGACATGATGATCAACGTGGTCGCGCTGCAAGCTACACTGCCAGCCCCCCACCCCCCACCCCCCCTCGCACACATGCCCTGCGGCGCAAGACGCGAGAAGAGAAAGAAGAGCAGAAACGAGGAACACCAGGATCCACCCTCATCGACTCCTCCTTGCCCCTAAAGAAACGATGAGGGGGTGATGATGATACAGCAACAGAACTGACGGATGTGAACTTTCGTTCATCATCGACCTGGCGCAACTGGACATGGCGCTCGCCAGTTTTTCCCGCGCACGCTACCATTGCCGTTCTGGGCTCGCCCTTGCATTCAGGGCCTCCGGACCAGTGGCCAGTTTCGTGGCAGGTCTTGCATTTCGAGCATTTCTTGATTTCCTGGAGCCGCCCCTTGAGATCTTCCAGGGAAGATCATCCCTTGCCACCTCCTTTGAACGACAGGGCGCGCAGTGGCAACTCTTGCCTCCGCTCTTTCCTTTGCCCTTGCTCCTCCCTTTGGTGCCAAGGTTGGCGACCAGGTCCTCTTGGATCGCGTCAGAAACTTCTTCCTCCGCGTATCCGGCCTTGTCCATCTCGTCGACCACCTCGACATAGAGCTCGCTGCTAGCCTGGACAGGAGCCCAGTGAGCATGCCACTCCTCGTCGACGTAGGCGTGCTCTTCGGCGCAGTCGTCCCAGGCCGCGTCGTCCGAGCATAGCCGGACGCGCAGTATCCATAAGGACTCAGCTCCTCAGGGTAATGCTCCTTCTGCTCGTACCATCCTTCATCAGCAGTGTAGGAGGCGCGTTGTGGCCTGGAGAAGCGCACCCTGCCCTTGCCCTTGCTCCTGTTCTGGTAGCTGGGTCTGGGCTGCGTCCACGCCGAAGAGCTGGAGCTTTTACCCGACTCACCCTTGCCTTTTCGGCAGATGTGCACGCGGCCGTGCTGGAGGATCAAGACGTCCTTGATATTGTCGGAGGTTGTCACATTTCCTGTGGATGTCAGCACCATCAGGTTATCCGCAGGCGAAAGGCCTGCATGGTCCAAGGGAAGGGAGCCAATCAGATCCTCGCGCATCAAGATCTTAGGATCTAACTTAGAGAGTAGTTTCCACCAGCGCTTCCTTCGGGAGATGTACGAGACCATGCACTCACCGTGCTGTCGAGACAATGGGATATTCGCTTCCTGCGCTTCTATGGGGAAGAATGAAATACGAATCGCCAGCAGCAGCTGGCCGATCCCATTCGGAGTCAGACGCACGTCCTTATCCATGGCAATATCGAATGCGTCACCTCTGAGGCCTTCTACAACCTTGTTGACAGCTGCTGTGATCACGTGTTGCTGTGGAGCACCCATCTCTTCATCCACTGAGGCCAAAGCGGCACTCATGCGCATCTCTATGCGGAATTCCCACTCGTGAAGGTTGTTCACCGTGCCGTCGTACATGTAGGAGCCACTCTTCGTCTCGGACCGCGTCAGCGCGTCGGCGCTCGGCCGATAGCGAAAGGAAGAAAGCGCCATGGCGCAAGGCTCAGTCCCCTAGCGAAAGAAACTGCCAGTACAGAACGTAAAGAAAGGTAGTGCGACACTCTCTGATGAGACGTGCGCGCCGTGGTACGATACGGGGATCCTGTGGTAGTTTCGCTACCAGTGTGATTCTGATGCGTTTTAGCGCAATGGCAAACAAGGGGCCAATAGAGGTCAAACGGCGGCGAGTGGCGCATATACACACGTGACACACGCACTATCTCACAGGCGAGGTGCCTCAAACAATGTCAACCCGCCCTTGGGCACCTTCCTATCCTCAGGAACAAATCCATCAGGAACCCATCTTTGAACCTCCGAGTGGAGGCGTGGGAGGTGTTCAACATAGTTCTTTCAATGCGAAGGACCCGGCAGACAGGAGGCATACGTCCCCGACCGGCCACAAACAGGGGGGCTGTGTTCCTGACCCCCTTGGGAGAAACCATCGCGTGAGCAATTTCCCGAGGGGGTCGATGCCGATGGCCCCCTAGGAAGGTAAGGACCGCAGCGCCCTCAGTTGCGGCTGGTCCACGTCTGCCGTCCCCAGCACGCGGCACCAGACCTGCGACGGACTGTTTTTCCTAACCATCCTGTGGTGCCGGGTCCTCCTTTCGAATCAGCAGCGCCACGCGTCTCACTCACTCCTTCCTCCCGCTCCCTCCTCCCTCCTCTCATCCCGGGTTCTGCAATGAGCACGCCCTCATCACCACGTCATCGTCGTTGCCTCGTCGATGTCGTCGTCATCCGCAACAGAAGCATCGTCATCATAGTCATCATCAGCATCATCAGCATGAGCATCAACACATCAGCATCATCATCACCACCCTCATCATCATTATCAGCATCAAACTCCTCACCTTCATCACCAGCATCAGTATCGTCGTCATCATGACAATCACAGTCATCATCATCGACGTCATCATCATAATCATCACCATAGTCATCATCAGCATCATCACCATCATCACCATCGTCATCATCTTGATTTTCTGGTAGCCACCCGTCTGGTAGCCCCTGTTGTCCTCATCATGACAACCAACATCATCAGAAGAGTCGTCATCACCGTCGTCGTCATAAATGAGCATGATCATCAGCATCACCATCATGATCGCCAGCATCATCATCATCCTCGGAATCAGCAGCAGCCTCATTAGCAGCACCACCAGCATCATCATCATGATCATGATCATCGTCGTCATCGTCGTCAACGTCATCGTCATCGCCATCGCCATCGTTAACACCATCATCATTAGAATCATCATCAGCAGCAGCCGCATCATCATCATCAGCAACAACCTCATCATCATCAGCAGCATCATCATCGTCGTCATCGTCGTCATCGTCGTCATCGTCGTCGTCATCGTCATCGTCATCATCACCCTTATCAGCATCCTGGTTTAGGCTTGGGCATCATTATCACCAGCATCAGAAGCAGCACCTCAATGGGTGCGCTCACATAAAAGGGCCCCCGCTCATCTCAGCACACCCCGTGGCCCCATAGGGAGTTCCACCTAAGGCCTCTTTGGGTGCGTTCGCCTAACGGGGTCCCCGCGCATTTCAAAACGCCCCTTCGCACGCGTCGTGGACGAATAACCTCCCCAGGCCCCCCAGCCGACGCCCACGCCGCGCGGCGCGCCCGTGGCCGCCCTGGGGCGCCCCGCCCCTGGCGCACGCGGCCCTCAGGGAGCGTGGCCTCCTCCTCCTCCTTTTCCTCCTCTTCCTCCTCCTCCTCCTCCTCCGCCGCCTCCTCCTCCCCCTCCGTCTCCTCCTCCGCCTCCTCCTCCTCCTCCTTCTCCTTCTGCTCCTCCATCTCCTCCTCCTCCATCTCCTCCTCCTCCTCCTCCTCTTCCTCCTCCTCCTCCTCCTCCTCCTCCTCCTCCTCCTCCTCCTGATCCTCCTCCTGCTCCTCCTCCCCCTCCGTCTCCTCCTCCTCCTTCTCCTCCTCCTGCTCCTCCTCCTCCTTCGCCCGACCCGCCTGGCGGTACTCTCATGTGCGTATGGTCGGGTCTGCCGCCAAGAGAACTGTCGACCCGCGGGCCCCGAGGAGGCATCGACCCCTCCCCCGGGCCAGTTCGTGCGCCCTCCATTTCTGATGGCCCTTCGGCGCAGAAGCGGCCCCTGAAAATCCGAGACGCCCGAAAAACCACAAGGATGTGTTGTTTTGTTTGTATTGTTGTTCAGTCTATATATATATATATACACACAAGACTGCATTGGCGCTTCGCGCCAATTCAGTAGTGTTCTGGACGCTGCCCCGGCAAAACAATACATCATCGCTTGCTTCAGCAGGGGGGACCTCGAGGCCTGGACGGGCGACCGGCTCATTCTTCTGATATCCCGGATGCCTGCTGACACCGCGTTCGCCCGATGCGCGTGCACGCTTTTGTGCAGGAGCGGCGAAGGAATGATGATCGTTTCACGCGCGAAGGTCCTTTGAGGAAGTAAGGAGCGTTCCGATGACACGCCGAAGATGTCGCAGTAGCTCCGAACTAATCGCTTTTGGGTCGTTCCCTGAATGCCTGGAGGGCCCCAGGCACTCAGGAAATCTTCGATCGTCGAACTTCGAATATAGGTCCAGTGTCTGTCTCTCTCGATCGAGGAATTTAAACCTCGAGCCTCAAGCATGGAACCAAGATCGTAGGGGTCAAGTCAATGTACTTCGTAGGGGAACGCCGTCTGGGCGTTTTGGAAGCTCTTTGGGGCCGTCCTGGGGCCCTCTTGGGCCGTCCTGGGGCCTTCTTGAGCCGTCTTGAGGAGCTGGGGCCCTCCAGAGGTCTTCTGAAGCCATCTAGGGCCCTCTTGTGGGCCTCCAATGGCCTTCTTGGGAGTCTCCAAGGGCTTTCGTGGGTCTCTCTTGGGAGCCTTCTGGGGGCATCTTGGGTTTCTTGTGGGCAGTATCGCGGGAAAGCCTTAGAGCCCTCTTGGGCCGTCTTCAAGCCCTCTGGAGGGCCTCTTGGGCCGTCTTGGGGCGATATCGGGGCCCCATCGAGCCGTCTTGGACGATGCAAAGACCCAAAAAGGGAATATGCTAAAAATCTTCATTTTCCTGTGAGAATGGGGCGATGTTTGCTTCGTCGGGGCTCTCTTGACGGCCTCTTGGGGGGTCTTTGGGGCCTCTTGGGCCGTCTTCACTCAGACCATCGAGGTCCCTCTTGGAGCGCTCTTGTGTTGTCTTTGGTCTCTCTTGCGCCTCTCCGATGACCCCTCTGATCGCCTTGAGTCTGCTCGCAAGGCCTGGGGCCGCCGAGACGTCCGGAAGGGCGTCTGGGGCGTCCCCGGGGGGGGTCTGGTTTAGGGGGTGGTCCGGGCAATAAAAATATAAGAATAGAAATACATAAGAATAGGAGTACATAAAGCGGACAACAATACATACGATCCGACCGAGGGGCCCCGCCAGGAACGGCGGACGAAGGAGCGATGGTGCGGCGACGACTCCTCGGCCGCGGTGCTGGCTGCACCGCCGCCGGCCGCCGCACCGGTGGCACCGCCAGAGGGAGGGCCCGCGAGCACGAGGTTCGCGAGGCCCTGAAAATATTCCTGTGGGGAAGGGGGGGAGGGGCCCGCCGCCGCCGTCGTTACCGTCGCCGCCGTCGTCGCCGCCGTCGTTACCGTCGTCGTCGTCGTCGTCGACGTCGTCGTCGTCGTCATCGTCGCCGTCGTAGTCGTCGTCGTGGTCGTCGTCGTCGTCGTCGTCGTCGTCGTCGTCGTCGTCGTCGTCGTCGTCGTCGTCGTCGTCGTCGTCGTCGTGCCGGCAGACTCCGCGGGGGCAACACGAGCGGGCCAGGGCCGTGCCACAGGCGCACGTGACTGGACTGGGCCCCCTGCCTCCCCCTCTCCGGCGGCAGGCAAGCCCTTTCCGAAGGCGGCGGGGCTTCTCGGAAGCCATCCAGCCTTCGGAGAAGCTTTCTGCGTCTTCGGAGAAGGCTTAGAAGACTTCCCAAAGGCCGGGGGACTTCCGAGCCTTCTGAGCAGGCCCGCCCCCTCTCACTTCGCCCCTGGGCTCGCCGACCAAGTTTTTTTAAGCAGCGGAAACCACACCCCTGGATGCCTTTCGCGAGGCATGATTGCTCAGACGGTGCCTGTGCCAGGGGACGTGCGGGCTGAATAGCCTCGCCCACTCGGAGCCCCCGCGGCTCCCGCCGTGTCTCCGTGGGGGCGCTTCTGATAGGGCCGCACCAGCGAGGGCGGACGCGGGCGGGTCACGGCTCGCTCCTTCGCGCGAGCCTGGGCTGCAGGCGGAGGGCCTGGGCGGCACTGGACGGAGGAAGGAGCCAGAGGGAGGCGGGCCCAAAAGGCCCCCAAGTCGCACCAAGGGCCCCAAGAGGCCAGAGCCTCATAATGTTGTCTATGCTTTTTGGCAGTCTTACTGTTCTCGCCTCTTCGGGATCCCAACGCCCAACGACGGCCCAAGAGGGGCCAAAGATCGCCCCACGACGGCCCAAGAGGCCCCAAAGGTCGCCCCGTATCCCGGCCAAAGAGGGCTCCAAGACGGCCCCAAGAGGCGACCAAGAGGGAGAAAGTAAAAAGTCTTTTCGAGCTTGCCTTGCATGGCTGGGCCTCGCTACGCAGCAAGGAGCCAAGACCAAGGATCCCGAGGAAGGCAGTCAAGAAGCAAGACCTAGCAGCCCCAGGAAGGCAGCAGCGCAACAAGACCAAGCAACCCGAGGAAGACAGCCAAGAGACAAGACCAGGCAGCCCCAGGAAGGTGTCAAGAGACAAACCAGGGAACCCGAGGCCGGCGGCCACGAGAGGACCACACCACCCAGCGGAAGGCAGTCACGACACACGACCACGCAACCCGAGGCACGCCGGCCGGCGCAGGCCCGGCACCCAACGGCTCTTCAAGGGCAGGCAAGGGGCCCCGTAGGCGAGCCTGCGGAAGGCTCGCGTCGTGACGACGCGGGCACTGGCTCCCGACACCGCGGGGATCGTTCAACCTTGGACGATTGGCCTTTTCCGAAACGTCAGATCGTTCAACATCGACCGACTCTGGTTCGCCGGCGGCGTTCAACATTGAACGCGGGCGGCGGGGTCGCCGCCGGTCGACACGACGCGAACCTTCCGTATCTTAGGAAAAACGGCACTGCATGCGAGGGCCGCTCTCGTACGGTAGGTTGGCGCGGCGCTGGCGCACGCACAAGGTGTTTGCCACCGCGGCCCCGATCGTTCAAGGTTGAACTCAGCCGGGTCCCGTCGCGTTATCATGTCCCCTGGTGCTTCCGCGTCACAGACTTCAACCTTGAACGCCTTCGCCAGCGTCGCTGGCGCGCCAACGCCGCATGAACCGACCGTATAAACGTACTCGGCACCCCGACTGGAGCGGAACAGCCTCGATGCCCTGGGCTCGCAATTCGCGCATGGATCGTCGAGAGACCGCAATAGGTCGAGACTCTCGCAAGTATCCAGCCAGCTCATGCGAGGCATGGGCGGAGAAGAGCAACAGCAGCAGCAGCAGCAGCAGTAGGAGCAGCAGCAGGAGCAGGAAAAGGAGGAGGGCGCCCGCTTCAAAATGCATGCATTTGCTACCGAACTGTTCTAAAGTCCTCCGAAACTGCTTCTATCTATCACTGCGCTTGCAGCGCGTCAGATCTGCATGAACGCCCAATGGCTCCCCGTCAGAAGGAGGCGAAAACACATCTACGATTGGCTCAAAGTCTCGATATGTAGCCCCGATGGCCCCCAAAGACGGCCCCGATACCCGATACCCCTGGGCCTTGCCCCAGGAACCTCCCACCGGCCAGACCCCACGGGCGTTCCCAAGAGCCTCGAAACGCCCCCAAGAGACCCTGGAATAGCTCCCCGAGATGCATCAGGACCAGCATGCGGCACCAAACTCGTGCCACGCAACAGTGATGATGCGAAGATTTTTCCAAGAGCGCGGTCAAGGACACGTCAGTTAGAGTATCGGCTGATGGTGGGCGGCACGGCTTCTTACGAAATCTGCTAACACCTACCCTCATGATAAAAGAAATAAAACAGGAACAGTTAGCCTGACGAAGGGGCCAAGCCTGTCAAGCTGGGTGTAGCGCACGGCGTGCCCATCTCGTCATATACTGCGCGACGCGGGGCAGTGCGAATAGGGGCCTGCGAAGCAAGCGCGCAGACTTGCCGAATGCTCTGTGGGGCACGATCCGTGTAAGAGGGATGTCGACTTGGGTGGAGCCCATCACGCGAAACTCCCTGTGGGGCGCGAAAAGTGCTAGAGGTGTGCCGAGATGGGCCTGGGGCGGCATGCGAGCTTGCCCGCTTGGTCCCGTAGCACTACCCGTGTAAAGGGTGCAACTAGATTTGAGCGGAGGCGGCATGCGAACCCATTCTGCGGGGCCGCATGTGACGCTCCTTGTGGGGAACGATCCATGGGAGGGGTGGGCCCGCATGGGCGGGAGGGGGAGGGCATTTAAGCTTGCCCATTGAGGTCTTCGCTGGAACTGCCTGTGGGTTACAAAACGCGCGAGAGGTGTGGCGACATGGGGGGGCGGCGTGCAAGCTTGTCCAAATGGGTCCTAGGTGGAGCCCTCTGCACGTACGATACAAAACGGACGCGGGGTATGCCTGAATGGGCGCGCAGCGGCATGTGAGCTGGCTCACTACGAATCTGAAGCTCCCTATGAAGCAAGATCCGCGTAAGGTGTGTGCTGAACTGGGCGCGCCGCAGCATGCGAACCCGCTGAGGCCGTCGGTTGAGCACCCTGTGGGGCACGACCCGCGTGAGTGGTGTGCCAGAATGGGCGCGCCGCGGCATGCGACCTGGCCCGTTGAGGGCGTATGAGGAGCTTCCTCTGAGGCACGATCCGCCTGAGGGGTATTCCGAACTGGGCGCGCCGCTGCATGCGAACTGGCCCACTGCGGCCGTATGCGCAGTTACCTGTCGGGCACGATCCGCGCGAAGCATGTGAAGAGGTAGACGTGATGAGAGCAGAGGCAGGGAGGGCAGGAGGAGGCAGAAGAGGAACGCAGAGACAACCCAGGATGCATGAACGATGCGGCAATACACCCTCCCGTCGCAGGTCCCCTTCCCTGCGTTTTCACTATAAGAAGCGAGCGAACCCTTGAGAGGCGAGCCCCCATACGGGCCTGCCACTCCGACGAGAGCCTCGTCTTGACAAGGAATTGCCGTGCATCCTTCCAGCGAGTGCTACTGCATGTGGCAGCGTGGAACTTCAAATCTCAGCGAGGTGCTCAGCGAGATTCAAGCCTTGAAAAGGAACCGCTCCCCACCCGTGAGCCATGGCCCTGCTGCTAGCGTTCTCACACGGATGCACGCGGCGCTGGGGCGACAGCCCCACTTTGAAAACGTTCCGCCCCCCGTCCATGCGGCTACGGCAGGCTTTTGAGACGAATGCGCGCGGCGCTAAAGCGAGAGCCCATTTTGAAAACGCACCGCCCCCGTAGTTGCAAGAGCTGCAAGCTTTTAGAACGAATGCGCGGGATTCTAAGGCGAGAGCCCCAGTTTGGAAAGCTACCGCACCCCACCTTTGTAGCGGTTGAGATGTCAAGGTTAAGGGTCCTAAGTGGTTAAGAAGTCCGAGGCGAAACGACCGCCTCGCCCTACCGACAAAACTGGTGGCTCCACCATGAGGAATGATCCACAAGGACGAGGGGCGGAGGAGAAGGGATGGAGGAAGGAGAAAGGAGGAAGGAGGAGAACACACGGCGCTGCGGTCTCAAACGAGGACCCCAACCCGCAGGACAGCTGGGAAAAGAAGACCCTCACACGCACACGCACGAAATGTCGGGGTTGCGCGCGCGGATTCCTTGGGTCAGCAATGCCCGCCCCCCAGTCCCCGCACCCCGTCCATGGCGCGATGAGCTCACACGGATCGGCACCAGAGGCGCCGCCCTGGGGTGGGGGAGGGGGGCCAGGCACCGAACCAGGAAATCCATGCGGACCTCATCCGAAAGTCTGTGTTTCCCATATCCTCGATATGCGTTATTGTCAGTAATGCCACGCCTCTGCCTCCTTACCTCACTCCCGCCTCCCCCCCTCCCTCACCCATACTGAGGCTAGCACATCTCACACTCAGACCCAAATCATGCTCAGACTTACACGTACTCAACCCCCTCCAGCTCAGACCACTCGTGCTCCAGATTGCTCTGTGAACACCCCCGCCCAACACTTGCAACCCCGCCCGACGGCCCGCCCTGGCCCCCCGTGCCCACCACACCCATCCCCTCAAGCGCGCCCCCCCACACCCCGCACCAAGGGCAGCCCATTCCCACACCCCCACGCGATTCACCCCCGCACTGGGCCTCTTGAGCAGCCTGTAGAACGCAGACCCACGTCCTCTCATGCTCGTTAGCATCCAGATCGCTCACACTCAGGCTGCCTCACACTCGGATGCTCGCCCGCCAACACTCCTCCACGGTCAGACCCACTCACACTCGGACTCGAGGCCCAGGCCCACGCACACTCCGACTCTGATTCCTACTCACTCACACTCAGACTCACTCACACTCAGACTCACAGCTCGGCTCAGACTCAGACTCACCCATAATCCGACTCACGCACGATCAGACTCGCCGCTCGAGCCAGACTCGGACTCACTCACGCTCAGACTCACTCACATTCAGACGCGGTCATACTCAGATCACTCATACGCAAGCTCACTCACACTTAGACTCACTCCCGCTCAGCTTCTCTCCCGCCAAGACTCACCCACATTCAGACTCACTTACATTCAGACTCAAGACCCAGGCCCACACACACACACACTCTCAGACTCCGATTCATACCCACTCACACTCAGACTCACTAACCTTCAGACTCACTCACACTCAGACTCGCCGCGCGGCTCAGACCCGGACGCACCCATACTCAGACTCACTCCTGCTCAGACTCGCCGCTCGCGCCAGACTCAGACTCACTCACACTCAGACTAAATGGGATGTATGTATCAAGCGAGACGCCTGGTTGCGCTTTTCGGTCTCCTCCCTCTCAAGGGCCCCATGATCACCAGGATGCAGCAGGCATGGCAGTGGGTCAACCCGATGGGGAACCGCCAGAAGGTATTGCACGGGCCCGCTGGCGTCCAGATTATGGGGGATATGCCAAGCGACACGCCCATTTGGGCGCCTCGGATTCCTCTCCCTTGAAAGCCCCATGATAAACGCGATGCCGCAAGCATTGTATTTAGGCATCATTGTCCGCCAGCAGGTGTTACACGGGCCCGTTCGCGCCCAGACCGCGGGGATGTAGCAGGCGAGGCGCCAGACGGTGTTACACGGGCCCGCTCGTCCAGATTATGGGGACCTCTCAAGCGCAACGCTTGGTTTGGTTGTCCCGTCTCCCCTCCTTCAAAACCCCATGACCACCGCGATGCAGCAGGCGGGGCCGACAGAGGGTGTTACACGGGCCCGTTTGCGTCCAGATTGCGGGGACATGTCAGGCAAAACGTTGGTTTCGGCGTCTCCGACTCTTCTGGTTTCCGCACTTGGGCCGACCAAGGGGGAACTGCCGTGGGGATGTTCCACGAGCCCGTTCGCGTCCAGCTTCGTGGGACATCTCAAGCGAAACGCTGGTTGGGCCTTGCCCGACCCTCTCTTATCAGACCCCCATACCCATCGCGATGTAGCAGGCATGGCACTGGGGCATTCGATTAGTACATGGGGGACCAGCTGCCAGCACATAGAACTAGGGCCCGTTTGCGACCAGATTGCGAGGACATGCCAGACGAAACGCTGGTCTCGGCTTCTACAACTCCTCTCTTTTGTTGGAGCCCCTTGATCATTGGATGTTCCACGTGCCAGTTCGCGCACAGATGTTTCGGACGTCTCAGGCGAAACGCTGGTTTTGGCTTCCCCGACCGCTCTTTCGCGAGAGCCACATGATAACCGCGATTTAGGAGGAACGACACTTGAGCATCCCAAGAGGAATCCGAACTGCCAGGGGAGAATCTCAAGAGACCCAGGCATGCCCAGACCCACTCCCATTCAGACCCAGCTGCACCCAGCACCCTATCCCACTGGCACTCAGACTCGTTCATCTCATAACATCATGGACAAAGCACTTGCCAGAAATGATGTGCACGTGTTGCGGGTTCCTGAAATCCTGAACCCTAAAAAACCCTTGATATCTGTGTATATATAAATGTGCATATCCGCAGGCCCCCTTGCGGGGCCACCAGGCTGTAGGCCGGGAATGTGCTGCTCCCTGTACCAGTTGCAGCTTCCAGTTTCCACTGTGACAGTTCTGCTTCTTGCTGCTTACTGCTCCTTGTTGATGAACGCGCGAGGGGGGGGAGCCCAAACCAGCAGAACTACCACGCTCTGGGAGAGTTCTCAGAATTTCTGGGGGGGGAATTGACACCCCTCACGCAGATCCGCTTGGTCAGGGTCCAAAAAAACAAGGGACTTGCCACATGTTTGAACTTCAGTGGCACCCCTCACGCAGATCGGCGGGGTCAGGGTCCAAAAGCACAAGGGATGTGCAACATTCCTGAAATTCGGTGGCACCCCTCACGCAGATCGGCGGGGTCAGGGTCCAAAAACACAAGGGATGTGCAACATTCCTGAAATTCGGTGGCACCCCTCATGCAGATCGGCGGGGTTAGGGTCCAAAAACACAAGGGATGTGAAACATTCCTGAAATTCGGTGGCACCCCTCACGCAGATCGGCGGGGTCAGGGTCCAAAAACACAAGGGATGTGCAACATACCTGAAATTCGGTGGCACCCCTCACGCAGATCGGCGGGGGTCAGGGTCGAAAAACAAACAGGTCCCAATACTGCTTCACGGCGGCGCTCAGACCTCGGCGGACACAGACCGTGTCCATCTCCCATTGTCCGAGACAAGGGGCCGGCAACATGGGGCGAAGCCCTCACGGATTTTTTTTTATATATATATATATATATATATATATATAGACATGCATACATACAGATATACATACATACAAACACACACATACATACATACATACATACATACATACATACATACATACATACATACATACATCCATACATCCATACATACATACATACATACATACATACATGCATGCATGCATGCATGCATGCATGCATGCATGCATGCACACACACATACATACATGCACACACACACATACATACATGCATGCATACATGCATACATGCATACATACATACATACATACATACATACATAGATACATACATACATACATACATACATACATATGTACATACATACATACATACATACATACATACATACATACATACATACATACATACGTATATACATACATACATACATACATACATACATACATACATACATACAGACAGACAGACAGACAGACAGACAGACAGACAGACAGACATACGTACCTACAAATATACATACCTGCATACGTACATACATACATGCATACATACATGCATGCATGCATACATACTTGCAGCATGCATACATGCATACATGCATGCATACATACATGCATGCATGCATACATACATGCATACATACATATATACAAACATACATGCATATATTAATCTTTATATATATATACATACATACATACATACATACATACATACATACATACATACATACATACACACATACATACATACATGCATGCATACATACATACATACGTACACAGATGTGTGCATGAGAGGGGGATACTGGAGGGCTGATGCTTGCTTCCGCCGACTTCCGCCGGCCTTCCGCCAGCCTCCGCCCGGCGGAAGCGGCCTCGTTCTGCTTCCACCGCCTTCCGCCGAGGAAGAGGAGGCACCCGCTCAACTCCTCGAACGCGAGGCCTCTTCCTGGAGCGCCCCACGTGGGGCTCTGCGAGAAGAGGCCGTGGCGATCCGCCGCTCGCCAGGACCCGGCTCCGGGCGGCGCCGTGCCGCACGGGGCTCCTCCCACGCGGCCTGCGTGTCGGTCTTCGGCTGCGGGGGCCGCCGCCCGTGCACGTCGCGCCCAGCGGAGCCCGCCGAGGGCTCCTGGAGAGGCCCAGCACATCTTCTCGAATCACAGACCCAGACTTCGGGCGGTTTACTTGTGCCCCTCCCGACGTGTTTTACTCCGTTTCGGCCTCTCTAGCGGTCGCTTCTGGGCCCCAGGATAAGCAAAAACGGGTCCAGGGAAAAAAACTGCCCCGGGGCAAGGGGTCGAGCCCTCTTTGGGCCCGCGGAATCACAGAATTAATCCGTCGGCGGTCTGGGCCCAGCGCAACAGACACCAAAGCCGTTGATTAAAGAACTAATTCGGAGGTGCGCCCGAACTCCTCGGGTCGGGGCTGGCCCCCACCTGGCGGCGCCTCCAGTGCCGCCGACCCAGGAAATCCGCGCGGACCTCTCAAGCTTTATTTTCCGCCGTCTTTCTGCTTTTCGATCGAGGCACGCAAAGGCCCTGCCTTCAGA